AGAAATTTGCATTTTCATGAACTTTGGTCCCATATGAACTTCGATTGATCCAAAGTCAACTGTCACAAGTTTGTTAAGCTGAAATGGACTGTAGTGAAGTTTCACAGCCGCAACTCCAACCTTTATTCCTTTTTTTCACATGTCAACTGGCTGAATTCCACTCAAGAAGCTGAGATGCAACACGAGAAATCTTGATAAGTCAAATGACCTCAAATCATCCCAATAGCTGAATTAAAGCTGAAAAGTTTTGAAAGCTGAAATTTACCCATAATTGCTCAAATTTACCTGATTTTATTAAAAATGCTTAAATTAAGGGAAAATTGCCATTTGCTTCAAGCTTCAAATTAGACTGTAATTTTACACACGAAAGTTAAAAGAGTAATGATGGTTCTGATTTACACAAGTTCCGGAAGAAAAACAAAAAATTTTCTTATAAGCAAAAACTATTAATTAAATACTTTTTTTTTCCGCCCCGCCGTGGGGGGAGGGGAGAGGGCGCTGATGGAAACAGGCCAAGCTTACCATGCCCTCAAGCAATATGAAATTGGAGCAGGAAAAACTCCAAATTTTCAAGTTAGTGTATATGACAACTTCCAATTAGTTTTGGGCGGAGAAGAAATTTCAAGAAAGGGGGGACAAAATAAAAGGAACACATGTTCCATGAATTTCCAATTTTTTTCCTATTCTCAAACATAAATATACTTCTATACCCTAAAGCAAAGTATTCCATCAAGAAACTCACCTTGACTGCCCACTTTAACGACATAAATCCTATATCAAATTTATATATTTAAAAGTAATAAAAACAAACAAAAAAAATTAACCTTATAATGTGACTATTCACAATGGTATTTAACTACTTTGCTAGACTTTTACCATAACAAATTCAAAAATAATTATTGAATGATATATAATTTTTTTGGAACGCAAATAATGCACAGAAATAGATTAATAATAACAATAATGATGATTCAAATTTAATCATAATAAATAATGAAAAAAAACTGATCTATAAACTAATATAAAAGGCAAAAGTACTTTACAACTTAGAATTGGAAAAACCTATTTAAACCCTAGCAAGTTATTAAGATCAACTTGACTTTTTTTGCACTAATTTATATTGGACTGCTAAAATATCTCTAACTCTTCACCCTATAATGGCTAGAATTAATTATTGAACAATTGATTCTAGTCAAAGTGGAAATCTTCAATCGTAGGATGATGGCCAAGTACTTTCAAAATGCCTTTAATGAGTTTTTCAATGAGACTTTGATAAATTTTAAATAATTAAGATGCTTTGGAAGTGATCCCAAGCCTCTTTTTTATAATTTAAGGTGTTTTAGGAGGTATAAGAATTATTGGAAGGCTTGAAAATCTTAAAAATAAAAATAAAAAAAATTATTGTGGCATGCCGTAGTAGGCTTTGGTATGCTAATTCTAGAATATAGGGTGCTACGGTGGACTCCAATGCATTAAAGCCCCTACTACAGTAGCCTTTTTTTTTTTTTTTTTTTTTAAACCCATTCATTCTTAAACTCAATACTCACCAACCCTAAATCCCTCAAAGATTTTCCTATATCATTGAATCAGTATTTTCACTAAAATCTTAAATAAAGAGCTTTTATTTTTCTGGTTTTTACTTATCATATTTTATTGAAAAATAAAATTGCAGGCATTTCTTTTAAGAGACCTTGCATGAAATATATTAAGATGCAAAAATTGTATGCGTCTTTTGATTTCTTCTGGCCATCCCTAAAAAAGTGAGAACTTTGATATGTCAATTATGACCCAACATTTTCAATCATTGGAGTTCAGTAGACAACTTATTTAGCAAAATGAGATTCCTAAATTTATTGAGCAAAATGTCAATAGGCAACCTATTGATCAATGACCATGACAAAAGAAAAACAGAAAAAAGGAAAAAAAAAACTTATGAGGTAATAAATCCTTCTGAAGCTTCAAAAATGGCTTTCATTCAATTAGGTGGAGTGGCTGTCTTGAGTAGCACTTTAAATTTCAGAAAAACACAAAGTAATGAATACACAAAGAAAGTACCCATACATAAACTACAAATCTCATATTGCCTCGCTTATAGATTATCAACTTATCGCGAGGAAATTTACAGTTAAGCAATCTATCTGGAGAGATGTCAAATACAAGCCAATATTTGAAAACTCATGTTTTATCTAAGCGGCTAATGTCTACTTCGCACTATTTAGCTACTTTAATGGAATAAAATTCGCCTTTTAAATTTATCAAAAAGATACTTGCCTTCTGAAAATAAATATTTTGTAGAGTAAAATGCATGGACAGAAATACCTCCCTTGTTTTGCTTTTACATCCCATTATAGAAAACCTGATCATCTGTTAAGGAAACCTAATTACTTATTCCCAATAACACCATTCAATTGACCCATGAATCTGAGTGATGAAACCACTATACTGGGCCTCATTTTGTGATGCCATTGAGATAAATTCAAATTTATGGAATCCAAGGTATTAAAACATCGAGAGAAGAATAAAACAACGATCTAAAAATATTAACCAACTCAATATTGTCCTTGGCAACTTTCTTCCTTGAATCTCACTTTCCCTCAATGGTAAATCGAGGCCATTTAGTCTTGCAGTGACATAGTCATTGCATCTCTCTTTTCTGTGTTTTTTATGTTTTTAATTTTCAAATTCACTTCCATGCACTTTGGTGTTCCTGTTAGTCTCACTGAATTTGGTTTAATTTGATGTAATTCAATTATTTAATGGTCAGTGTAACCAATTAATTCTTTAGCGGTCAGTGTACCAATTAGTTTAGTGGTTTTTTTTAGACTTTCACCAAAAAATTATGTAACTGAACTATGATTTTATATGCCATGTGATATAGGAAACTTCAGCATCCAAAGTGTCTGTAAAAATGTCTTTACTTTACCAATACAGTTATTTAATATTTTTTCTTTTGATATTTCTTCAAATCCTTTTCTTTTTCACCTTTCTATGAATTTTGTTATTTTCCTTTCATATATTATAAGTCAGCCAATTGACACCTGAATAGGAAAGATGTATAACACAGATTATGACAAAACCAATACACAAGCTCAACTCATCTAAGCCCGAAATTCATAGTGATCATGACAGTATTACCGATACTTCACAAAATATATGAAGCCTGCAACAACTGTGAGCAGATAACAAGATAAAAGAACCAATGAGCTAGTTAGACATGAAAGTCAAATTTAGAGTTCAAAATTAACGAACAATGAAATGGATATGCACAAAAATTAAACAAGCTTGATAAAAAGCAAAACAGTGTTTTTGGCTTTTCAGAATATTCTCTCAAGAGAATAGGAGCTCCAATCATTTGCTTGCCATTATGAGTGAACTAGCTGCCTTCTTAGTGCTTTTTGACAAAATTAAGAATATACAGACCAAAAAGCCACTATTGTTTGTTTAGCATTATAAATAGTTTTAGATTCCACTAAAGTGCCTGACAGCGTGGTCCAAAAATAACTGATGTAAAGCGAGGAAAGAATGACGGGTCTAAATGTGCAACCTTCTTTGGCTGCCATTACAGTAATGGGGAGTAGAGAAGGCTCTTTAATAAGTTGCCTAACAGCATATCAAGATAACTGAAAATAAAACAGGAAGCAAAGATGGAGCAAAATATGCAACCTTCTTTGGCTGCAATAAATATCATTGGGAGTAGATAAGGTTTTGCAGCTCCTTGAAGCTGAGAGCATTGCCCTTGTGTGTACCTCTAGTGGGAGGTCATGTGGTAGGTATGAACCCAGTGAAAACCTTTTGTATGTTTGCACATTAATAGCACTTCCCTTATTGTTTTCAATTGATAAGAAACAAAACCACTTTAAATCTACTTTGAACCTCATGAAAACCCATTTAATGTTAGAACATGAATACTTCTTCCCTTGTTGACATGGGAGGAATTATAACTACTTCCAACACTGCTTTGCAATTTCCACACTACATAGTCCCAGACCCATGTCCACCACTGGTGGTCCGTAGCTCCTATTTGTATGACATGATTGTTTCTATTGTAAGAATACGCTATCATTAACAATTGGATAAGTTAAAAAGAGAAGGCAATGATCGATCATCGGGAAAAATAAAGTTACCGACACTGAAACAAAATGGCAATTCACAAATATGTCATACCAAACTTTTGTAGCAAGGTGCATTCGTGGAGGCTTAAAGGGGTAACCATAGGTCAAAAGACATACGTATTTGAATTGATGTTTAGGATTTAAAGTATCTTTCTCCCATCCAAATTAACAACAAAAAAATAATTGCAAAAATTTGTTTCATACATAAACAAAGAGATTAAGGGTCCCTTAGACATTATATAGAACATTCAAGATTAGTATTACACCAAATATTTTACAATAGTCAGAAAGAAACTCATTGGTATCCTTCTCAAATGGCTAAAGCATAGGGAATCGTAAAAACATGTGAGTTGATGGAGTCCAATAATTGAAAATTGAAGGGCATACCAAAATACAACAAAGTCAAAGCATTGAGGACCTCAGCTGTTCTTCATGATTTGCATATTATCCATTCGAGCAGTCTTTCAGAAAGCATATACAGCTTAGTTACAGCGCAAGTCCATTTCGCAAGAAAACAGTGCCATACCTTGATTATTGTCAACTCATGCATAACATATTGTCATCTTCTTCTTTTTAATTTTTAGTAATCTAATGTTTTGCAGGTAGAAACGGAGACATACAGAACATGGGAAATGATAGAGAGAAGAGGGCTCAGGGAAGGTGTGCATTTATATTAAAGCTGAATTGTTCATTTCCTAAATTCTTCACTTTTGAACTTAAAGTTTAATGTATTAGCAAAAATGAAGCGATCAGCATAAGTAAGCTTATCAAAAGTGACTAAAACACCAGATTTAGTCATATGTCAGCTTTAGAGCTAGAACAGGTCCTCTTGATGGAGCAACAACACCCAAGGCTTTCTCTATTAGCTTCCCCTGCCAGCTTGCGCCAATGCAAGGCAAAATCTTCCTACCTACTAGCTCACCATGTGATCACCTGCCCTTTAAAACCTCACCTCTAAACCCTAGCTCACCGTCGAAGTATAGTGTTTTACTTGTAATTACTAGCACAGTTGCTGCTGTGAAGTCGAAGCAGCTGTACTATTTAACATTCTTATGCTTCCCATGCAATAAATACCGAACTTTTGTTAAGGTTACTTCCTTTTACACTTTTTTTTTAAAACTTTTTATACGAGTAATTCTAAAAGTTGGTAACTTAACGTATTAAATACAATAAAGTTTGTCTGATAGTTGATTCTTATATTGTTTAATCTTGCCATGTAGGCCGTTGAGGAAGCCACTGCTGAGCTGGACACTTTGGGTGAGGAGTCTTACATAGATAGCACTCTCATCATGCAACTGCTGAGGGACAATCTCACCCTTGGGACTTCTGACATGCAGTTAGTAAATATTATATCCTTAATTGGAATACTTTCTTCTAAATAGGGTTTTTATTTGATTTACTTCTTTGGATGTATAGCCATATTTAAGGCTGAAGCTCTCACCAACTAGCCACTTTTTTGTTTTCACATAGGACTTCTATAAGCTTATGAAATATAATCCCCCATAACTATTTGTAAAACTGTACTTACTTGAACTTTTGGTCACATTGTTAAATTTTATATAGAGTGCCTATTATATTGCTACTATAATGGGTATTGACGAACTTTAAGTATGTGAAAATTAATATGTTTTTGTTGGTATTTTAGCACTTTTGAAATGCTGCCTCAAAACTTCCAGTTAAATATTAGAGCACTTTTTCAGCTTTATTTTGAAAGTCCTTTTTCACAAAGTCATTTGTACACAAGGATTGGAAGTACTAAGAAGCTACGCCAAATGGCCGTCCAATTGTTTTATTTTTTATTTGTTTGTTTTTTTTTTTGTGATAAAGCAATTTGACCCTAGATTATGAAAATATTGATTTTGGTACTTATACTTTGACGAAGCAGTCAAATTGGCTCTTTCATTAAACATAAACTAGCTATTTGATTGACATTAACAGAAGAGTTAATTTAACCAAATCCGTCAAAGTACATATATCAAAATGAATATTTTCATAATATAAGTACCACATTGAAAATTTTAATGTAGTAAGGGCAAAAATGGTCTTAGCCCTTTTTATTGCATAGTCAGTCTTTCTGATATACACCAATCTTTATGGCCAAACTTGGTCCCTATTTGCGATTATATTCACAGACAACTGGGTGAAAAACATAATAAAAGCAAATAACAAAAACTACTCTCCTATGCTGCCACTAACCACACTGGAAAAGCCATGAATTTTAGGCTTTCCATTGCCAACAGTATTATTGTATTTAGTTGACTTGTTGAGCAATGTTACTGTCCATTTTTAGCAATTTAGTTGCTGGTTATGCCAAACCTAGGCCCTTAAGATGACAGTCGCTTGACCTCCTGAAAAATTAAAACTTCTAATGCCACCACTATCATTGTACTATATTAGGCACAGGTGAGAGGATCTTGGATTTTGTTATAGTTCCAGATTCCTTTTGATAATGTTACTTTATAACTTGCAGCTTTATCAATTGGGAAACATTCTTGATACAATATTCATAGGAATCATCCAAACGAATTTTGTTTAGAGAATCTAAATTTGAAATGATTCCTTATGAATATATAAGTAAGATAATTTTATAAATTTGTCATCTGTGTAAATAGTTTTTGTAATCTAATCTGTTTGAAGGTTTTACTTTCGTACTTCAATTATTTTTTGTTGGAACAGGGTGAAATTGATGTTAAGAATATAAAGGAGTGAAATCAGTCTCTTCTTTTCACCAAATCATTGCACATAACTGTATTCTTTTTATTTAGAAACTTAAATGGTGATCTAGTAAATATTGAAAGTTTTAGGAGGTATTAGTAATCTAAATTAGGTCCAGGTTCGAAAATCTGGCATTACAAGAAAATGGCAAATTAGCAACGTAAAAAAAGGGTTGATAAGACAGAAATTTGCGTAGGAAATAGTGTTACCGACGCAAAAACCAACACAAAAGTATTTGTCGGAAAAATGGCCGTCGGAAAAAAATTTACCGACGCAAAATTTTTTGCGTCGGAAATTTTTGACAAATATTGGGCCATAAATTATGTCGAAATTTTACCGATGAAGGGAAGTGTCGGAAATTTCCGACACAAATGTTGCGTCGGTAATTACTGATGCAAGAGTTGCGTCGGTAATTTTCGACGCAACATTTGCATCAATAATTACCGACGCTATTCTTGTGTCAGCAATCACCGTCGATAATTAATTTATTATTTTTAATTATTAAATATTAAATTATTTTATTATTAGATATTAAATTGTTTTTAGTATTATTAATTATTTAATTCTTTGTTATTATTACTTATTAAATTCTTATTATTATTTAATTTTTAATATTAATTTTAAAAATTTTTGAAATATATATTTTATGATAATTTATTTAAGACATTTACATAAAACTAAAATAACATGTGCATAAACAATATTCAAATATTTTATTACAAACATAAAATAGAGTGTCACTAAACATATATATAAAACAAAATCTCAAAAAAAGCAAAATCACTCCTGACAGCCGCCATCGCCCGACTGAGATGCAGAGGAGTCAAAATCGTGAGTAGGCGCCGGAGGGCATGGCTGATCAAGTGGTGTGCTCCTCATCCCTTCAACCACCTTAATCAGGTGATAAAAGGCAAGTTCCATGCTCCCCACCTTCTACCGAAACTGTTGATTCTTCTGACGGAGAGTTTGCACTTCCGATTTCACAGACTAATCCGCACTATCGGATGGAGGATAGTAGACTGACTGAGAAGAACTCTACTGTCCAAGACTGTATACACGGCCGAAGGCTCTCCCCCCAGCGCACTTCTCCTATAGCTGAGTGTTTGCTATCTGTTGAGACTCTAGAGTAGACGTTTCCTTAAGTGTCGACTGGGAGGATCGGACAGCCTAGAAGTCAGCCTACATACACAAAGTATATCATAAAATAAGTTTAATAATTAAAATATGTTAATTATAAAATGTTAATAAATAATATAAATATGCTTACATAAAATTTAATAAATATGTTAAATAAAATTTAATTACATAAGTATTCTTCGATCGTTGGTCCACCCACACCTCCTCACCATCTTTCTTCCTAATATGCGTATACTTAAAAATCTCAAAAAAATGGGGAGTCCTCCCGGTCTCTTTTTCCTGCAATAATATATAATAAAAATTTTGTGATTATTTATAACTATAAGATAATAATAAAACTTATGTACATGAATAAAACTTACCATCCTCATAGCATACTCGTGTGGTGGAATAGAGCCTCCTGTGTGGAGAGAACCGCCTTTTTTCGAACAGTGATTCCCTTTATTCTGTGATTTTACCCTAGTAAACCTCTCTAATCTCCAATAAGTCTGAAGCTCTTCCCACACAGAAGGCAGGATCCAGTCTGGTCTGCCTATAATCCTGGCATCTCGAAGCATATCGGAAAGCCTATGAGATCCACGAGTATTGAATAACCGTCTAATGGCTGGCTCATCTCGTGGATCCCATGTACAATATTTTTGCATGAAAACAGAAATAAACAGTTAATAAAATATCAATTAATGGTATAGATAAAAAAATGTTTAACCATGACTGCATTGAAATACAAACTCGAAACTTATCAAACCAGAAATCACGAGGAATTGTCCTCCATGTGGGATAACACGACGTGAACTTTGCCCGAATGACCGCTGTGATGGCATGAGCAGTAGCCGTCGAAGGATGAAATCTGCGATAGTAAAAAATTATAAAATTAATACTGATATTTGATACATTAAGAAATATTTATTAAAAGTTTTTGAATAATACTTACCCGACGTCACCAACGGGCCTGATCAGCGTCTTCCCAGAACTGCTACAACATGTGCCGGATGATCCGAATTGAGCAAGGTCAGATGGAGAAAAATCTGGTACAGGGACTGAAGGAGCAGCGCTATTAGTAGAGACAGCCGCATTGCAGGTAGACACTGGTAAAGCAGGCCTTCCAGCAGAGGTCTTCCAGCAGTAGATGGAATAGGCACGTATCTGGGAGTAGGCATGAACTGAGGAGGTCGCGACACATACTGAGAATTTGGAGCCCTATAATCATAATAGGCATGGGTAGGATCATGGGGCTCCTTAATAATAACTAGCGGCAAGGGGCCTAATGGGTGGTGTACAAGAGGATCACACCGCTTCTTCGAGCGGTCAGTATCCATCTCCTTACCCTTATCGGGTCTACACTCGAAATCCATTTATATTGATAGATATATATAAATATAATTTTTTTCTTAAAATTACATAAGATATAATGAAGTATTACTTAACTTATTTTAAATTAATATATAATTTTTTTAATTGATATGTAATTTGTTTTTTAATAACCTCTATAGTTCTAACATTAAGAAAAGAAACAAATTATTATACAATAAAATAAAACATATTAATTACTCAAAAATATAGTAGAAAATACATTGTCGCGAAACATACAAAACAAAAATACAACAATTCAATCTGAATAACTTTGATCATCCTCATTTGCCACCTCTTCATCCTCCTCCTCTTCTTCCTCATAATTTGCCGATGGTTCAGTGTCGTCATCGTATTCAATAAATTCTTCCTCCTCATCTTCATTTTCGTATTATCATCTTTTGTTAGTCATTCTTGATCCAACTGTCCTGAATCAATCTCGTCGTATAATCCTGCTTCATAACGCAATCCATCTAATGGATCGACATCAATTACAAGCATTACATGAGACATAAACCCTTTTTGATAAACTTCTTCAGTACTTACATTCTCAATTTCTATTCGCCCAGTTGGTTTTGTTTTCATAACCACCAACCAATGGGCCTTGTCCCTTCGAATGGCTGGATAAGGAATATAATAAATTTATTTAGCATTTTGAGCAATAATGAATGGATCATATTGATTATATTCCCCACTGCAATTAACCTCAACAATGTTATAAAGGGGATGAACTCTTGTACCACGAGATATTCTTGGATTAAACCATTTACACAAAAACAAAACAACCCTTTTTATAGGTTCGCGTGGATATTCCAATTCTATAACTTTCTTAAGGACACCATAAAATTCAATTTCTCCCACATGTTAACACCTTTTACACATACACCATTATTAACAGTTTTCCTTCCTCGAGAGTATTCATCTGTGTGGAACTTATAACCATTCACAAAATACTCGTGGTACGATCTCACACTTAAATTTGGTCCCAATGCTAAATCACGTAAGTGCGGATTTGTGACATCATTGGCAGGATCGTGCACCTATTTATAATATATTAAGAAAGTTAACTACATAAAATAATATCATAACTTCACGTGTAAATGATATACTTATGTAAGCCTTAAATTAGGCGAAAAATTCATTTTGAATCCATGACCCAGTATCTTCTTGACTTATGCCATTC